GGGGCGCCTGCCCCTTCTCAGTTAAGGGCAGACATGCACAGATGGCTCCGATTAGCCCTTCTACCCCTTTCTGATTTCAGCCCCACTGACCACAGCCCCCATCTTAATCAGTCTTCCCGCAGGTGGTTGAGACCTGGCAACTCCCCACTGAATTTTTCACTCTGCCATTTGCAACGCTGCATGTCCTGCACTCCCACGGCTCTCTCCTGATTTTGTTTCCAGCATCTGGCTTTCCTCTAACTTCCTGTTTTCACACAGGTCTCCTCCATTGCTCTCATTCTCGTCAGTCCTCTTAAGATTAGGAGCCTCATGTCTGAGAATGTTAATGTACATCTCCCAGGCATTCTGCTCTTATTCCCTTTGCTTATTTGCCTGGCTTCATTCACTGAAGCCCTCCTCATTGTTATGGCAGTGGATTCAGTATTGCTCTCTTGCCACAGAAGGGCCCCCTCACTCCTCCCTCTTACTCCTCACTCAGTGTTGGCCATCCTTTCTAGCAACATCGATAGATTGTTACCAGTGGTTTTACCTGAGTTCACCTTAGCTGCCCTGTAACTTCTCCTTGTATCAGTGAAACCATTTAACTAAAAATTTGTTACAAAAGTTTCAGAAACATTCTAATACTATTTGCTTCCTTAATCTGTTTCTATGTGTCACTGACTTATACATTAAATATCTTACATCCTTACCTGTACATAAAATTGAACCAGTTTGCCTCAGGGCTGTGATCTAACCTGGTTCCTGATTGTCTCTTCACTCCTCTTGCTCATTCTCTTGTAGCCTACTTGCTTAATCAGAACCAAACTGGGATTCATATAATCTTGCATTACCCCAATGTCTATCCTGCCTCTCCATTCTTATTTGATCATGACCTTTGTCCCTACCACAATCCCATGCCTCTCCTCTTTTTCTCTAAATACTTCAACTGACCCACTCTAGGTCTGTGTTAACTTCCACTTCTTCTTTCTTCTCTCTTTCTCCTGCAGAAAACCCTAATTTAGCCACCATCATTCTTTGACCAACCCCCTATTGCACTGAAATCTCTAGTCTTAACAGGTACACTCTTTCCTATATGGGACAACCCACTACCATTACCCATTTTCAACATATTCTATTAAATTCCTTCACTCTCTGAACTCAAACCTGTTCTTCATTGAATTTCCATTGGTGGCTTTAGTTATTTCTAACATTGCAATCTGTTGACTGCCACAGCAAACCAAGGCCTATTGGAAAATATGTGGTCTTCATTTGAGATACAAGGTATTTCAAATTTGTTCGTCAAAAATTCTCCTCAGCACCCATGCATTAGCATATCTCTTCTCATTTCCAATTACCTCACGGCCTTTCTGGCCACTTTCCTTTTATTTGTGTATCTTCCTCTGCTTGCCAGATCCCTTTTGCATCCTTTGAGATCCTGTTAGACTGTTAAATTCTTTCAAATTTTTTTATTTCCCCAGCTGTTAATCCTGCACTGCCATAGAGCCCTCTATTAAAATTTAAAGAACCTATGACATAAGAGTTGTAGTGTCACAGATATACAGGCAGATCTCTCTCTCTCTCTCTCTCTCTCTCTCTCACACACACACACACACACACACACATTTAACTCGTAGACAATCTGCTCTTGGAGACAGAAGTCATGTCTCAGTCATCTTTTTACCTAAGGATCTGACACATTAGTTTATACCCTTCTATCTGATGTCAACATGCACTGACATTTACTATGTACTTGGCTGGGAGGAGGGAGTCGGGAGTTTAAAGTTGCGACTTTGAGCAGATGAAAGCCCCATTACTCACCTTATCATATATGGTCTTTACATTGGGGTCTGTTTTTTCCTGTCCTTCCTGTCCCCCAGATAAAATTTGCTTACTCCCCAATTTCTGGTATGTTTTGTACCAGACCCTAAAATGCCTTTTCTTCCTCCATACTTAATAAACCCCCTCCTTCCAACGGTTCAGAAAATCTCATCTTCTTCACAAAGACTCCCCTTTCCAAAAATGTGTCCCCAATCTCCATTTCTTATTCTACCAGTCATCCTCAAACATATAAGGCCTACTTGCTTCTCCATTTTAAGACACTGAATTTACCAATACTAGAACCTCATTACTGACCTGTTTACTGTAGGTTGAAAGTTGTCCTAAAGCAAATTCATTCTGGTGGCCTGTGGCCCCACTGTCAGCCCACAATCTAAAGATATAATATTGGTATTAAGACTCTTGATGTACTACTTAGTGTTAATTTAATGACCCATGTGCATTTTGCTCCCCGCCTTTTGTTTTTTGCTTTGTCAACTCCTAAAAGTAATGGTTCTTCTGTTTTTTCAACAGGTAGACCCTTTTGACAGGCATGGCAAAAAGCCCCCAAAGTTCTCCCCCCTGCTGCTTCCTTTATACAGATAACAAAAAACTGTTTTGCCCATGTCATCTTTTCTGTGCTATTCTAACCCACATGGGCTAATGGTTTTTAAAGCCATTTTATGAGATCGTCTCATTGGCCAGCCTACTACCCTAGAAAGCAGAACCTGTGTATGTCCCACTTGATAACAGAACACAGCGCCACGTACAGACAGTGCTTTCTGCACTACAGACGGAGGCTCTGTGCTTGTACCGCCCCTGACACCAGCTTGCCTGCTCTTTCTCCCCCCAGTTGCAGGCACCTTTAGCTGCACCATGAAGTTTACTGTCCGGGACTGCGACCCTGACACCGGGGTTCCCACTGAGGAGGGGTATGATGATGAGTATGTGGTGAGTCTCCCCCACACAGAGACTTACCCTAACATCCTTGCACTACCAAGTGACTTCTGCCTACAGGAAAAATTCTCTGCTGGCAACATCTGACATGAACTCATGGGGTTTTATTCTTCTCAGATCACAATGGAGGAAGAATAATCCTCCTAAGAGGAGTGTGTCATGCCCCCAGAGAACTGGGATTTACCAGTTAATGATTGATTAAAACAAAACTCACTTTTTGGTGTCTTTATAAGAGAGATAATGAAGACATGAAACAATTACATGATTTTCACGGAGGTCAATGAGTTTTATTTGAAATATTGGGGGGTTTTTTGTTTTTGTTTAGCAGCTTTTAGTTCGCTTATAATTGAGCCCCATCATGGACTGAAAAGCCATCACAGAATGTAGGGGAAAGTTTAACAGGTATCAAGCAGTTAGTGAATGTGAAGTTCAGAAGGCCCTGTATGGCCTCAACTCCACGGTTAGGTGTGAGAGCATGACTACTTTGTACCCCCCAGGGTTGGAGGTGTTGATCTGAATACAGCTCTTGCCAGATGTCCTGTCTTCTTGCTTTCCTTTGCTAAGGGCCTACCTACATTGTTAGATTTATCTAGACCACAGAACTTAAACTACTTTAGTGGTAAAGTTTTTCTGAGGCTCCTGCAAAGGCTAGAACACAGAATGATAAAACCATTCTAATTAGCCCCTGTCTTTGTGGTGTATTGAAGGACTTTCATTTACTGACCCCTGATCCTTACCTACCAGCTGGAAGATCTGGAAGTGACTGTGTCTGATCACATTCAGAAAGTTCTGAAGCCTAATTTTGCTGCTGCCTGGGAAGAGGTGGGAGACACCTTTGAGAAAGAGGAGACCTTTGCCCTCAGTTCTACCAAAACTCTCGAAGGTGAGAACAGTTTTGCTATTGATGTATTGAGGATAAAACCTAATGGGCATACTTATTATTCCAGAGTATCTCTTTTCTTTAAATATTTCATAAACCATTTTTGCTGAAAAGGCCAGGATCCTGTCTTCGTCTAGTTGAGTCAACCACGTTCTAGTCTGGTAGCCTCCCTCCACACATGACCAGGCACCCCTTCCCCTCCTCAGCACTTATTAGGACAGAGACACACCCCTAGGCGGAACTTTCCTGATACTATTGCATTTGTCTTCCCAACACAGAAGCTGTCAACAACATCATCACATTTCTGGGCATGCAGCCATGTGAGAGGTCAGACAAAGTACCTGAGAACAAGAATTCCCATTCCCTCTATCTGGCAGGTAAGAAACTTCCATCAGATTCCCCCTTTGGTTGGTTGTAAAATGGGAAGGGGTGTGCATGGGTATCTTGTGCCCTGCTGCTGTCCCCTTATCCCTTGATATGTGTTATAATTTGAAGTTCTGTCAATATGAATAATTTGTTTAGCTATGCAATTATTTGCAGGCTATCCTTAGGCTGTTCTTTTAAGGAGTAAACTTAGCCTAAAACACTTAAATCTCTCCCACAGATACCAATGCCACCATTTCCCCACCTTTGAGTACTCCAAATTAGTATTACTGAATACCTTCTATGTGCCTGGTATCATGGGAATACAAAAGATTATTTAAAATTTGTACACAGGATTCAATTCTCACCATAAGCACTAATCTCTAGAAAAGCTAAACTAAAATAATAAAAAGGAAATGCAGGCCGTGCATGACATATTTCATTATTCAGAGCTTTTTTTGAGTTAATATAGTTTTCCTTGCTTTTTTCTCAGGTGTATACAGAGGTGGCTATGACTTATTGGTGAGGTCCAGGCTGGCCTTAGCAGATGGAGTGACCATGCAGGTGACTGTCAGAAGCAAAGAGGGAACACCTGTAGATGTTATCTTGGCCTCTGTTGGATAAATGTTTACTGGGCGAGATGAAGTTGATGCATACTTCACTGTCAGTGGGCTTTTAGGCTAGTGGCATGAATTTCCCAGAATCATACTTTAAAGATTAATGTCTTTGGAGAAGCAAATTAAATATTTGGCCCTGAGCCAGCAGATCAAGCAAGTATCTGTCCTTGTGCATGTAAATTCTTTTCTTTTTTTTTTTTTTATTACACTTGGTCAGCTTTGGTATGATAGTACAGCTTTGGGTGATCTTGCAAATCAAATACTATCCTGTACCCCAGCTGCTTAACTTCATTATATTTTTTAATTTAATGTGTGTCTGAAAGCTCCTGACAATGTTGGAAAATATTTTATCCCAGAGGGGTGGTGGGGGAGGGGAAGCCAGAGTCCACTTTTGTCAAAATTCATTTTTATTAATAGAAAATAAACACTTATTCCAGTTTCAGTTGTTATACTTGAAGTTGCTAATAAAAAAAAAAAGAATTTAAAATAATCACTTAATCATCCTGTTTCGACTAAGACAATGAAGCTGTGGCTTAAAAAAAATTCAGCACCATTTGCTCATATAGGTCTTTCAGAATTTGTTCTTAAAGTTTCTGGAACTTTCCTGTCTGTTAAGTACAGGAGTTACTGAGCTACATGAGGAAGTCTCTCTGAGACAACCAATGAAAAGTTAAGTTAAGCAGTTGTCATAAAAGGAATCCCTGTATGGTAACCTGGACTATACAAAGATCCCCTCCCCTCCAGCTCAGGAGGGACATGCCTCTAAGCACTGAGGTATGAAGAGTCAGACTGTTATTTGCTGTTAGAATTAGCTAATAACAGTAAATCTCTGGCACGGATGCTACTGGTCTATAGTATCCTGTGATTTTAGGAACTTCTGTAAATAGTTTCGATTTAATTCACTTTATTCAGAAATTAAACCTGTTTAATAAAGTTCACTACTCTGCCAGAGTATCTGCTGGTTTAGTATCCTTAAAAAATATATATCATACGTGTAGGTAACTCATAGTCTTAAAGTATACTTATTAGAATACTGCATTATTCAAACCAAAACCTATTTTAACAACATGTTTATAATTAAAAGCAGCCAATGAAATGAAATTCCAAGTTATGACAAGGGAGACTCACTCTCACTTGAAGCTGTGTTGCTTAGAGAACTTTAAAAAAAAAAAAAAAAAAAAAAAGCATATGCCCTTAAAGTAATTCAAGGACAGGTCAGGAGACACCCTCTCCTCATTCTTTACTATAGGACTCCAGTTAAGGATGGGCCAGAAATGAGCCTTTCTAGATATTTCAGAATAGTCCATAGATGGGTTATAAAGACTTTTAAGAATGTCTCTGTATCTATCTGTGAGTAGTGCTTATCAGGATTTCCTAACAGCACAAAGGCAAGTCCATATACTCGCTCAGCTGTGAGAAGAATGGGAGGTGGACTGGGCGGATTGTTAGGACCATCCTTAGCTGGAGCTTCAGTGGGTTTTTTACTATATGCTGATCACCAATGTAAGTCTAGGCGGACTTTTGTGAGAGAATAGTGTTTGTGGCCAGGACCTCTTTTGGGCATCTCTTCCTAAGTAGAATACATAACAGATAAGGGAGTAGGGGAGGTAATACAGGGAAGCTACTCTTTCCAGCTCAGAAGGAGTTGATGAAGCCCATATATGCATTCAAGAAGCCCATGGGATCCTCTAGCTGTGGATAGTGGCTAATGTGGTCATCCAGAATCGACACTGTGGACCGCGGCAGCGTTTTCCTAGTGGAAGAGAACAGCATGTAGGTGAACTTGAGGCTGGAGGGAGGGGACGGATGCAAGCCAGTGGGCAGCCCCAGTAAAGGCCCTTGCGGACATACCACACTGGAAGGAACCAACAAAGAGCTTATTCACCTTCTACTTTGGAATTGCAGCTGAGGCCGATAAACTTGCCAATTTCATTTATGACATAAACAGACTAGTTCTTAAATGTTCATAACCCAACAGACAACAACTTGAAAGTATAACACTTGGCAACACCTGCCCAAGCAGGATGACTTCCAGCTCCTTAGAGAAGCATGAGGCATCAAACAAGTGGGACACTCAGCAACTCACTGTCCAAGTAAAGATAACAGAAGACCTTCCTTAATGCTGGGTGATGAGGGGAGGGCATTTGGTTTAAACTTAAATGTACACTATTTATTACTGGGTTGTTTTTGCTGGGCCAGGTGAAGGTATGAGACAGTCTTATGTGATATAGTCAAGATTTCATATTCCAACACCTTCTGAGTAAGTCCTAGAGAAAATAGCAACCAATGAGAAGGCACTTTCCCACAGTGTGCTCTTCTCAATCTCTCCTGTAGTCTGCTTAGCTGAGGTGGAGGAGTTAGCTTTATGATCAGCCTAAAGCAAACATTTCTTAAAATAGATCTGCTTCCACTCCTTGGTTCACATGGTAGCTTTTTCTTACCTGTACACCTAGGAATATGTAGTAACCATGACAATGAAAACAGACTGTATAAATCAAGATTCCCCAATTCATCCTTTTCTAATATGTTTTTCCTGGATGAACAGCCAGTGAGGGCAGTGGCTCTCCTGCTTACCACTGTCACCATGAGGAAAAAAACAAGGACCCTTTAGGGAGACTCACCTGTACAGCTCCAAAAACTCTGGATAGGGATTTACAGGATCCAGTGGCCCATAGATAAAATGAACTAGGAAAGACAAGAAGAATGAATTACTAAAGCTCTCACACATCTATTCTCCTACCCCTTCAAAAAAAAAAAAAAGTTTTCCAATCTTCTTGAGAAACAATTGTCATATATCACTGCATGTAAGTTTAAAGCATACAGCATGATGGTTTATGTATATTGTGAAATGATTACCACAATAGATTTAGTTCACATCCATCTCATAGTAACACAATGAAAAGAAAAAGAAATTCTGCTTATGATGAAAGTCTGGATCTCTCTCTCTCTCAACAACTACTATTAGCTGTCGTGGTCATGGTGTAGATTACATCCCTAGCACTTACTCATAAGTGCAGGGTTGTACATCTTGACTCCTTTCCTCCTTTCCCTTCCCCCCACCCCAACCTCTAGTAACCACAAATCTATTCTCTTTTCCTCTAGGTTGGTGGGGTTCTTTTAGATCCCACATATGAGATCATGCTGTATTTGTCTTTCTGTCTGACCATCTCTCAGCATAATGGCTTATAAGTCCATCCACGTTGTCACAAATCCTTGAGACTGCTTTACTATGGCCAAATAATATTCCACTGTGGGGTATGTGTGTGTATTGCAGTTCTTCATCCATTTGCTGAATGATGGACACGGAGGCTATTTCCATCTTGGCTACTGTAAACAATGCTGCTATAAACAATGAGGTGCAGACATCTTTTCAAATTAGTATTTTCATTTCCTTTGGATATATTCCCAGAACTGGAGTTGCTGGATCATATGGTTGTTCTATTTCTAATTTTTTGAGAATCTTCTATACTGTTTTCCACTGTGGCTATACCCATATCCAATCTCACCACTAATGTACAAAGGTTCGCTTTCCTCCACATCCACCCCAACACTTATTATCTCCTCTCTTTCTGATGATGGCCATTCTAACAGGTGTGAGGTCATATCTCATTGTGATTTTAATTTGCATTTCCCTAAGGACCAGTGATATGGAACTCTTTTCATGTACTTGTTGGCCTTTCCTAGATCTTCTTTGCAGAAACATCTATTCATGGGGGATCCCTGGGTGGCTCAGTGGTTTGGCGCCTGCCTTCGGCCCAGGGTGTAAACCTGGGGTCCCGGGATTGAGTCCCACATCGGGCTCCCTGCATGGAGCCTGCTTCTCCCTCTGCCTGTGTCTCTGCCTCTCTCTCTGTGTCTCTCATGAATAAATAAATAAAATCTTAAAAAAAAAAAAAAAAAAAGAAAGAAACATCTATTCGTGTCTTTTGCCCAGTTTTTAATTGGCTTCTTTCTTTGATGAGTGTATGAATTTTTTATATATTTGGGATATTAACGGCTTATCAAATATATGGTTTGCAAATATTTTTCCCATTTATTTGTGGTCTCTTTTGCCATCCAGAGCTTTTTTAGTGTGATGTAGTCCCGCTGACATATGCTAGAAAACCTAGCTTCTTTCAGTAAGTAGGTTACAAGGAACTTCTGAGAATAAGCCTAACAAGTCCATTTGGGACAGTTCTCCTATATACAGACATTTGGTCCCTCCCCCAGAGCTCTTCTGTGCCTGAACCAAAAAGCACTAAACCTCGCTATCCATGTTCTCTTCCAGCATACCGTCATTATCTAAAGGTCTCCCTCCAGTTATAACTGACCGCTGACATTTTAAATCAACCACTATTTTCTAGAGCACTACTATGTATGAGACACTGCACTGATTTTTTTTTCTTTTTAAATCTGTAAGATTGTAAGACAAATGAGCAGAAACCACCTACAGCCTCTTGATTAGTAATCTAAACCGCCTTCTGTCCCAGCCATTCAGCATGTGATGTGGCAACCACTGACACTGTGCAGCACAAAAGCCAGTCATACTCCCACTCCTGACAGCGATAGCACAACTACCTCTGCAGCAGCTTCTCACTATTTTATATACTGAACTCCACAATGCATATCACTGGTATTCCAGATTGGTGGGTAGGGCTGCCAGATTAAATAAAAGATGCCCAGTTAAATTTGAATTTCACATAAGTAATGATTTTTTTAGTATAAATATGTCAAAATATTGCAAAGCACATACTTATTCTAAAATTGTAGGTTGTTTATCTGAAATTCAAATTTAGCTGGGTGTCTTGTATTTTTATTTGCTGAATCTGGTAATTATTTTAACCCTCAGTCCTATCAAGCCCTATCAAGATGTAATAAAGAAATACTCACTGGGAATAGTTACAGAAGCAAGAGCTCCCACCCAGCGTCTTCTAAACTTCTTCCTCTGGTTGATGTACTGTAAGAGACTATAGGACAGAGAAGTCAGCAAAGAGTAGAACAAGAAATTTTTATTGTCATAGGAATGCAAAGGCATTCTAAAACGAAAGCTGCTACATTCTCATTTGGACCAAGTCATGAGCATTCTTTGTATATGACCAAGAACTCTCCATTCTCTGTCCTGTTGCTATGGAAAAGATACGACAAAGAAGGAGATGCGTATTTTGAGAGGTATAGGCTCCTTTTACAACCATGATTAGACATTTTGAGGCATTTAATACTCACAAAAAGCCCAAAGTAGGATTTGCCAAAGTGGATGGGCCAGTTACAAACTGAATTAGCAGTAGAATTTGCAGCTGTTTATCTAAATTTTGTGTGCCTCGTGGCTTATAGTCATGGCTCACTAGTCTCGATTTCCTTCTCCTTAGAAAGGACAGCACATGACTTTTTGTTTTGCCTTAGAGATCAGAACCGTCTTATGAGAAGGAACAAGCCAGAAAGGAACAGAATAAGCAATCCTTTACCTTTCCCCACTTCCCCCAAAAAAGCTTCTCTGGAAACCAAAGCAAAGTGTTATTTCTTACCTGTCGATAACTAAGTTCCCATCGTTGTTGCGAATCCCTGCCCACATGTCCCACAGCTCACTCTCAGAGGGGCGGGTGTACGGCCCAAAGACTGGGGTGAGACTGAAAGAGCCCGAGAGAGCAGGAAGATAAATGTGAGAAGAATCCAGAATGTCAAATATGACTGGAACTTCACAGGTCACGCTGTCTGACCCTTACCTGATTTATGAATTCCTTCTCCTACTTCCCTGGCAAATGGCCAACATCTTTGTTTTAAAGTATCAAACCCTAGGATTTGGCCCAGAATTTTAATGACAACTTTTCACTACATTGTTCCCAGGCTATAGTGAATCAATCTTTGACAATGACTTACCCTCGGGAGAATACAAAGAAGTTCATCAGTCGAGTGAGGATGGGTGACAACATGCCTCCATCTTTGAGAAGCTGTAGGTAAAGAAGTAAAGATTTGAGAGGAAGAAAACCACTAAGCAGGACAAAAGTTTTATATCAGGAACTAAAAAAGGATTTCAGTCAAATGTCCTTCCACTGAAACATTTATTGGCTTTTCATTTTTTGTTTTGCCTACCCCTTCTCTTATGGAAGACAAACCTATTTGTAATTCCCCGTAAGATTACATTTCTATACTTCACTAAATTCCTGAGGCTTCTAACTGATGTACTCAACTTTAGGATATGATCTGTTCAGACATCATGCTAATGACACAAAACTCTAGATAGCTGTATTTCTGCAAATATTCATTGATCTCTTACTCTCCGAAATGAGGCTTTACTTAGATGCTGCTTCCACTGCTTTATCAGCATAAGATGGGAAAAAAGTGACTTTATTAATGTAAATTCCTGAAGATTTTAACTATGGCCCATCATAGCAAGTATGGTCCTTATAAAGGTCATAGCATTCTTTATGTTGGTATAAATTTTAAAAACCAAAGACTTTGTGACTGGAGGAGCCAACCTTTTGGAGAAGGAGAGGACGGTGAGTCTCAGGAAATATACCTAGAGGAGAAAGAGACCTATTAGTCATTTACCAACAACTTCAGGCCAAATATAAGTCTCTTACCAGAAACTATCCTCCCTATTTACTCTTCCCTTTGGGGCCTTTACTGTCAGAAACAGGATGACAAATAAAACTTAGTTCTGTTATCTAATTACTTCTCCAGGGAATTCTGCATTTAGCAGGTTAAATTCTATCCCACTGGGATTACTTTCCCCATTGTAGGAGTAGAGAAGCAAGGAAAAGATAATGTCCATGATCATCCATAATGCTGATGACTAAGCCCTGACTCTCCTTGCCCTTTCTAACCATTCCTTAGAGCATCTAGTATTGTTAATGGTTTGCACTGCAAAAGAAACCAATGATTTTTTTCAGGGACCATAGGTCCGGGAGGGCTTGGGGTGGGAAACTAGGATTTTTCCCTTTCCATTTTTCTCCAGAGTCAATGGGAGAAAGCCATGAGTATCACTGATAAAGGGACAGACTCCTATCCCAATCTGCCCTTCCAGTATTTAGGGGACATGTGTACTTTCACAGATTTATAAGCCAGGCTCCATGGTCTAATGCCTCCTAAAGGTCTAATCAAAAGGTAACTAATTTCTAACTGAAACTTGGCCCTGCCATCAATGAAGAGTTTCTGCAACAAACCACAGGAGTATCAGAAGCACTTGGTGCTTCATCACAACTGTTTGCATAACCCACTGCAGGTGCTGCAGATAGTGCTTGCTATGTGATGCATTTAGAGAAGCACATGTTACTATTAACACAGCTGTTTATTCACTGTATGTTGATATAATCTGTTTCTTTTGTGATCCTACTCATTTTCTATATTTAAAAACATTATTCTGAGAAAGGGTCAATAAATGTCATTACCACCAAAGTAGTTCATGGCACAAAAAGGTCAAGGGCCTCTGGTTTAACTGCCTCTGGCTGCAGTCTCCTCGGATCACCACTTAGATGTCAAGGTGGTATCTCCCTGTGGCCCTTTAAGGCCACAGCTCACTTTCTGCCCACCACCACGGCAATTACCTCCATTTGACAGACAGAGACTCTTTATGGTAAGCCGGCCGGATCGATTCTGCTTGAACCTGGAAACAGGTGAGGGAAACACATCTAACTGAGTGCACATGCCAGGTCAACGGCTGCAGACAAATTCCGAGGGGGGAAAGGAGCTACACAAGGAACCTGGGCATGATGCACTTTCCCTGCATCTCAAACCAGGGAGACCTGCAGACAGCACAGAAGTCTATGACTTCACCAACCTGTAGAGCAGCTCCTGAGCCACGATGTCCCCATAGTCATGAGACAAAAGGTTGACCCTCCGGTTCTGGAGCCCCAGGTGTCGCAGAAGTGCTTCCACAATGCTGGCCTGCTCGAATATGGAGTAGTGGTGTGGTCTCTAGGAGGGGTGGGAGGGGCACAGAGGGTGAGGGCACAGGGTGAGGGCGGGGTGTATGGGGTGAGGGCATGGGTGCAGATCTGTCTGCTAGCCCAATCCCCTGTCCTCGCCCACCCCACCCCCTCCCCAACCCCACCTCAGCCCCACCTTAATGCCGCTTACTGGTTTGTCACTGAAGCCAAAGCCCAAGAAATCAAGGGCAATCACTCGATGAAACCTCAGGGTTAGACCTTCCCAAATCTACACAAAAAAAAAGACATGATGTGGATTTTGTTTCCTCTGACCTAAGCACAGCAATTTCTTTCCCATATTGGTTTAACAAACAGACTTTGATAAAGGGAAAATCTCACGAAACTACCACAGGCCCACAGATGATCCTCTTGGAGAACTCCAGCATTTTTAACTTGGCAAGGATCCTTCCCAGATCACAAGAGTTTACTCCCTTACAGTAAACGAGGAACAGCTCTAAATCCTACTTTATTAAGCAATTCAAATACATAAGAACCTTCCAGTGCTGACAACAAAATCTTTGATTTTGGATTTTTAAAGACACAATAGGATCTAGAAATCTGAATTCATTACCTTGTACCAGTCATAGCTGGATGTTGGAAAGCCATGTAAAAGCACAACTATCTCAGGACTTCCAACCACACCCACAGAGTCTGGGAAGAAGAAAAGAAATCAGGCTGACTCCCTATAAAAATAACTTTTAAAATATTAAAATCTAAGTAATCTAGTATAAAGGATAAGACACCCTGCTTAAATTAATGAAATAAAGAGAACATTGAAATAAAAAGAACATTCCTTTTTAAAATACAAGCTTACTGCTTTAAGTTAAAACGACATTTATTTTAATCTATATATTAAAAACTTGTAAATAGCACACTTTATATGAAAATACCAGAAGTCAACCTGCTTAATTTCACTTAGATTTTTTAAAGTATTTCCCCATTTCTTCCTCTATTCTATATTATCAATATGTAAATTGTTTTCACAATAAAAAGTAAACTTGCACAGTTACAAGTATACAATCACAACATAAACACTATAGATTCTTTGTGCGTTACCATTAAGGACCTCACAAAAATTCTCTATAATATAGCAACTCTTTCTCAACCTGGGGAATACCTTACTCTGTTTGTCTAGCATTTTTATTTCCCCCAGGGGAGAGCCAATCCAATATCAAAAGCATAATGCTCAAACTATTAACAATTCTAACACGTATAGAAAAGGATTAGTCAATATAGACATGAACATTTTTCAATGTAGAAACATCTTTTACATTAGCCAAATATTTAAACAGTAAAATGCCCTGCTCAAAGTATTAATTAATCTAATTAGAAGACTAAAAACATTCATACATACTGTTAGTGGCAGGACATTTGATAAGGTTTGCAAAAATAACTAGAAGCAATTTAAAAATATACTTATTCTTGAGAATCCATGCAAATAAAATCATTCCATTTACAAGTAGTATGGTTTGAAAATATATGGAAAAAGTAAAAATATACATGAAGAGTTCCCTTCAACATTGACTGTTTAAAACATTAAAAAACTGGAAACTAAATGACCAATATAAAGAAAAGTATATACTTACTTAGTTGAGTATAGCAAATGAGAGGAGGTCAGGAGCAATAATGAAAAACGGTTTATGACAAACATTTTTCGTTATTGCTCTTGACCCCCGCCCAAAAGACATCTTTCCCAATCTCGTTTCAGTTTCTTTGCCTGTAAAATCGGGTTTATGGCACCCATCTCCAAGTAGTGTTGTAGAGATATTTAATCTTAAAGATAATAATGAAGGTTGAAAGCATAATTCAATGACTAGCATATGGTAATTACTTGATAAGTAGCAGTCATAATAATTATCATTAGCAAATTAATTTATACAAAAGTAAAAGGTTTAAATCACATTTAGTTATGCATGTAACAATCTTTATAGAAAACAAAATGAAGTCAAGGATGGAAGCAAACAACCAATGGTGGGTCTATCTATTGAACACTAGGGGTGCTCAAAGGAGAAAACCAGTATCTATCAATACAAATGAGGCTATGAAAAAAATTATATACTGAAAAGCCAGTTCTACAGAAATCGGAATCTCAATTCTATCGCCCCCACCCCCCACTCCTCCCTGAAACAGTTTTTTTGTGAGTTTCTCTGCTATGGAGTTACTCAGGGGAATTAACCCATTCCTTCAAGCACACTACACAGATAAAGGGATTGTTCATCCCCCTCCCCTCTGATGGGCAACAGACACCGAGAGACACAGAGTAAGTGTCTCACTTATAATAGGTGCTATTATAAGTGCCAGGTGCTCCAACAATCCTCTTCTTACCTTGGTAGAAGATGCGCAGTCCCTTGTAGGTGAAAAATTTGCCCGATGACTTCCATGAGTGAAGAGCAGGAGAAAGCTGGGGTGGTGGGATGTGCAGATAGGCCGCCAGCAGGGGCACAGCTAACAGCCCCACCTGCACCCACCACTCCCTCATCCTGCAGGAGAATCAGAGACCTGGGGTAAGCAGCCAGATGATGCTGTATGTGCTCTTACAAGCCCCAAACTGATAAAATGGTGTGGGGAATTTCTATACCATACAGTGACTACCTTGCCCTTCATATGAACCATGGCAGGAAGTTTACCAAGAAGAATGTAAGCACACCTCTGCCTGCCATGCAATCACCATATTTGCTCACCATTCTAATTTTAAGGAAAAAAAAATATATTATTTTAATGTGAAATCTTCCCCCTCTCCTTCCTACTTTAATCCCTCAGCACCCCCCCATTCTGCTTTTCTCAAAACCTGAAGAACTTTTTATGTAAAGTAAAAGGAAGTTAAGTATTGTGCACCTTTTCATTGGCTGTTATCAAAGCTTCCCCAGAAAAAAAAAAAAAAATGACTTCGTTCCTATTTATTCTAAAAGCTCTACCACCCACCCACCAGCCCCCACCAGTTAAACGTTAAATATATAGATACATACATGTAGTTTTTTACCAATGTTTTAAAAAAGCATCACATGTCCTTTTTTTTTTTTTTTAATTTTTTATTTATTTATGATAGTCACAGAAAGAGAGAGAGGCAGAGACACAGGCAGAGGGAGAAGCAGGCTCCATGCACCGGGAGCCCGACGTGGGATTCGATCCCAGATCTCCAGGATCACGCCCTAGGCCAAAGGCAGGCGCCAAACCGCTGCGCCACCCAGGGATCCCTAGCATCACATGTCCTTAAGCAGAGAGCTATTTTTGAATTTTTAATATTTATCTACTCTCTGACCCCAGTGAAGCCCCACTTTGTACTACTCTCTGGATCTGTGCTGAGAAACTGCTCCAGGTAAACAGTCTGTGAAATTAAGAAGCTAGGTGCACTGTATATTTCACTGTAAGCAGCTTTGTCATGACCCACAATATCTAATCTCTTGAGAGGTCAGGGCAGCAGATTATATTTTTGCCTTTCTTGCTGTTCTTAGCAGACTCTTGGGTGGCTCCCATCTATTTAATTTTTTAGGATTGCCACCCCTACCCTGCATACCCCTCAAAAAGGGGCAGAGCTCACACCCAACATCTGAAAATTGCTTTTTTGTCTTTAGAAGGAAAGCTCTGGTTTGCATACCCAAACTTCTCACGCCAGAGACTTCAGAAGTCCAGGTCAGTCTATTCACAATGAGGAATGCTAAACAGAAATTAGAGACATTTCCCTCTGTTTCTAGTTTATGACTGAGAATAGTCACCAGGAAAAGAATTATTAGTAGAAGTTCTCTCAAACTAACCAGAATGGAAATACCTTCTAAAATGAAAAATGAGTCGTCAGGAAAATAGAGCTATAAATGAATTAGGGAAATGAACTGTTAAAGCCCTGATAAAAATGGCTTTGTGTGTGTACACACACCCTTCCACCATTTTGCCTGTAATCTGGCCACAATCCCTAACCATTACAAACTAATTCAGCTCACAGAATGCCCTTTTTTTTTTTTTTTTTAAACTCTAACACAAGTAAGGTTGGGGTCCCAGAGTGGTCAAATCACCATGCGCCTTAAACTCTGAATAGCGCCTCTGCCCATTTTTCTGGCATCACTAGGGCAGTCTTTCATTTGTTTGTTTCTCCAAAGCAGCTGTCCATAAAACAGACCAAATGATCTGGTTGTATCTTTCAAGTTAATATTACAAGTGATTTCCAAAAGATGCCCCCAAACATCATCAAATCACCATTTCCACCCCATAATGGTAGCAGGCTACAGCCCAGTATGTACTTGAAAAATGAGATGACAAGAAGTATCAGGTTTGGATATCATTAGCTATCATCTGTCCCGCACTTCAGCTCAAACATTTGCACGTTCATATTTCATCACTCTTCCCGCTCTCCCCATCCCACCACCCCTCCTTCTCCCCATTTCATTCATTCAGGGGTTCCAGTGGACGGATATCTGCAATGACTCAGCAGAGAGCCAGGGAGGGGCTACTAGAGGAGCAAGCAGGAGGAGGCTCCCAGCATAGGTGGGGGGTGGTGGTGGAAGGGGGGATTGGAGAGTGAAGGGGGGATTGGAGAGTGAAGGGGGGGAGGAGCTGCAGGGGGGCGGGGGACGGCAACAACTGTGCATTTTCCATTCCTGGACACCCCCACCCTCTGTATCTTCCTTCTCTTCCACTCTGAGAAAGAAAAAAGGCAATCTTTCAGGAAGCCGTTTTCTGGTTTAATTACGTTGGTAAAAATGCCCCTAACGACATTTTAGGATTTTTAGTAGGGAAGCAATCTGGCAGTCAGAAGCCAAAAGGGATTAATCATTTTTTGACCAAAATCTCCATTACTTGATGAGTCACAAATCAAGAGTATAATAAATTCAGCAAACCCCAGTAACAAACCTGGAAATGAATCAACCCTTCCGAGCCTTGATTTCTTCGTCTTGTAAAGAAGAAAAAACACATTTAATACCACCAAACCTGCCACCTTCCAGCATCGCGGGGACTGTCAACTACTTTGTAAACCAATGCAAACAATCCATGTGTAACATTATGACAGTTTGGTCACATCTGAAACATACTTACGCCTTGGTGATACGGTACTGCCAAGTTCTAGTCACACCTATGCAGTAACTCACGCCACAGCGATACCAGGGTCTTCAAACCCTAAACTGCGCCACAGCGATACGGGGGTCTCGAAATCCTAAATTATGCTCAGACGATGCGGGGTCTAGAAATCCAGTATCACGCCAGGGGAGTGCCGGGGTCTAAAAGCCCTACATCACGCCAAGGCGTCACCCGCTCTACAAATCCTAAATCGCGCCTGAGCAATATCAAGGGCTATAAATCCTAAATCGCGCCAGGGCGATCCCGGGGTCTAAAAATCCTAAACTGCACCGGGGCGACGCCACTGTGTAGAAATCCTGAATCGCACAGTTGCCAAGCCGCGGTCTAGAAACCCTAAATCGCACCCGGGCAAAGACGACGTCTAGAAATCCTAAATCGCGCTGGGGCAACGCCGGGGTCTAGAAATCCTGTATCTCACCAGGGTGACGCCAGGGTCTAAAAATCCTAAATTGCACCACGGCGACGATGGGGTCTAAAAATCCTAAATCGCATCCGAGCGATACCGGGATACAGAAATGCCCAAACTGGGAGGTGCCCACCCTGAATATCCTAGTCCGTGCAGGAATGACACCCCTCCCAGGCAGGCGGCCAGGACTCAGAGGGCAGGCCGGTGGGGTTTTGCCTCCGCCGCGGGAGTCGCGGCGCGGCCGCCCCGGCCCCGGCCCCGGCCCCGGCCCCCACCCGCAGGGTCCCCGGCGGCCAGCCCACAGCGTCCCGGGGCCGGCGGCCCGGAGCCAGCCACACCCCCTGGCGCCCGCCGCGCACCCACCTGCGGAGGCGATCTCGGCGCACCATGGCCGCGTCCTAGCCCATGCCGCCCGGCTCGCCGGCTTGCAGCACCGGGCACCGCAGCGCCCGCAGCGGGGCCGGCCGCCGGGCCCAGCCTACAGCCGCCGAAGGCAGCGCCGGCCGCGGCAAGCAGCGAGCGGCCACCCGGGCGTGCGCTGCGGCACTGCCCGAGCTGCGGCTGCCGCAGAGGAAGCGCCGGGCGCGCCGGTTGCCGCGGCAGTGCCGAGCGAGCGGGCACCGACTTTTAGAGCCCACCCGCGCCCCGCCCCGCCCCTGGCCCGCCCCGCGCCGCAGTGCCCCTCCCGCCGCGCGGCGGCCGCTGCAGGGATGAAGGGATGAAGCGTCCTTCTCGCAGCAGCGCCTCTAGGGGGCACCTTCCGGGTGGCCGACCCCGGCAGCACCCCGCCGCTCCCTCACAGGCCCCCCAAGCCTGGGCTTCAGGTCCTGCAGCAGCATCCTGCTCTGGCGAGTTGACGCCGCAGGAGATTCGACAACAGATCCCGAAATCCCGACACAGCCCCGCCAGCCATCGACCACCCCCACGGGCCCCCCAACTCCAGAGGGGGCCATTCGACCTCAGGTGCCGTGGGGCTTAGGACGGCCAACCGTGGCGCCTGCCCTCGGCCTGCACCACGCCCGAGGCGTGGGCTCCGAACTCCCAACTCCGCGAGCGCCCAGTCCACAGCAGCGGTGCTCGGGCGCCCCGCACCTCCCAGGTCCCTAACTCCAGGGAACCAGCAAGGACACAACCCAACCGCTAGGGCCTACTACCAATCCCATGGGCCGACTCGAGGGCCAGCGGCTAGGAGGCAAAAACGGCAACACTTGGTGCGAAGTCTGGGTTCTCTCTCCCGACCGTGGCCACGCGCTTCCTTTGCAGCAGCACTACGTGGCCCGCATGCCAGAGCCTCGCCGCAGCCCTCTCGCCGCACCCGCTCCCAGCAAAGGGCCCGTAGCACGCCAGAGAGAATGATCTTGACAATTAGGAGACCAAAACTCCCCCTCTTTAAAATGTACGGCTGAATCACAATGCAAGGGCCACAGCGGTACAGGCAAGAGGGAAAGGATTTTCTTCCTCATCTATAATCCGTTAAAAGGCATATATGACGCCTTTGAAAAGAAAAGTGTAGGGAATCATAGCGTCTACGTTCATTTTCTGGCTATGAACTTGAACTCTGACGAACGCGCGCGCGCGGGATGCGAGGGAGCCAGGCAGCCCAAGCAGTGCCGGCTCCCTCCAGCCGGGGCGCTGCAGGCCTCTCCTTCCACTCATGCCCGCCAGCCCGGGGCCATTCCACAGCCCCGAACGCAGCCGAGCCCACCCAAGGCCACCCGGCACCTAACACAGCACGGGGAGGTAAGGGCCACCAACCAGACACGGGAGACACCACTTATCAGTCAAACGTGCGGCACATCCTAGAGTACACTTCTACTGGTGTCCGATGGACAGGGTTGTGAAATCAAGCTTGTTTTTAGCACCTACAATGAGCTAAGGGCTGGGGATACAAAGATGAATGAGAAATGCCCCCTGTCCCTGAGCAAGACGCAGACAAGAACTGACACTGCTAAAATTTTCCCTTGAATTTCCTGGCAACATTTTGTGACAGGTTGGCCCCCTCCCCCTAACATGTAAGGCCCTCAAAGGCCGAGCCCAAGAATTATTCACCTTTTGTATCCCCAGAGCCTGCCACAGTACCAGCCACAAAGCAGGCCCCTAATAAATACTGCATGAATAAGTACAAGAATTTGAGGGCGCACAGGGGAGGAAGTAATTAAGGAGAGGGGGGAGGGTTGTCTTGAATGATGAATAGACGTTTACCGGAGAGACAAAGGGCATTCCAACCAGAGGGGACGGCATTTGCAAAGCACCCGAGGCACTGGACTGCACAACCTTTGGGGAAAACTGCAAGTCCTTTGGGTCCTGCACCGACAGGCAAAAAATTTGGCTACAAAGAGTATTTCATCCTAAGGAGTCTGGAATTTGTCCTAAAGAAAATAAGATGCCACAAATGGATGTAAACCCTTTATGGACCTAATTGGTTACTTACCAAAATATAAATTACTCCCTTTAACAACAGTTGAAGATTACCTGTTTTAACTACCATCTCTTAAGGACTGAATTAATTACTTAGCAAAAATTTAAATCAGCCCTCTCAACGAAGTAAAGGTTTTTCCCATTTTAATTAGGATGACAGTGACCTTTGCATTATTTTCTTTTCGCATTTGTTGTCAATGGAACCAATGAGTTCTGCGGATTCCACACTTTCATTCTCACCACACCAGAAGCACCAGGATCCAAGACAAGGCAGTTTTGTATTTAATGGACTGAGAGCTCACAAAGAATCTTATTCTGAAATCCACAGAACAAGTGGGCAGATAGGAGAAACTGTTGGGGGAAGGGGTAGGGAGGGGATCAAGGAAGCTCTTGAAGACAACAGCAATTCTAAGTCGGTGCTCAAGAGAAACCCTCCAGGACAGAATGGCTAGGAAAAACTTCCTTGGAGAAGATGGAATCGAGGGTTGAGGACTTCAAACCCGGAACTTGCTTAGATGAAGAAAACATTCCCATTTGGAAGACCCTCCAGTCCAGAGGCAAAGGAGTCTGAACAACGCAGAGAATACTGTGAGAGGTCGGCTTGACGGACGCCGGGAATTTGCTCTCCAAAAGTTGAAGGAGAAAATGCTAGCAATAATGCCCCAGGAGCCAGAGGGTTAATGAATTTCCTAAATGTGCCTGCCTTACTTAGAAAGAAGCTTCCTCCACCGGGGAGAATCTGGCCCAAGGTATGAAACAGTCCAAGTGCCTGAGAAAACATGTAACCATACATAAATCCAAAGTCTGCCTCCGGCTCGCTCTCAGTACAATCTTTCAGTTCTTGGATACAGACACTACACTACACCGACATCCCATGCAGCGCATTCCCTCAACCAGTAGCTTATCATACACTCCTGTCACATTCCAGTTCTAAGATGGTCCCACATAATAAGACCTCGGACGTGTGCAAAAATTAGTGTCGAAAGCTCAGCATTCATCGTACAACAGCAGTATGAGATCAGCGGGGCTGGTACCACAGAGTCAATAATCTTATTTTTTTAACGCCAGTCTGAGACCCATATTATGACAAGCACCAGGATGTTTCTGCAGATGATGAGACAGAACTGGGACTGCCACTTGGAAGAGCCCTCTATAATTATCGATTCAGATAAATGGAAGTTCGACATGGGAGAAATTTGGTTGAACAGCAGTGTGTGAGAGACTTGGGGCTTTAGGTGACAGTGAGTCAATGTGATATGGCTCTAAATACACCACTGTAGACTGCAGAATGTGATTAGAGAAGCCCTGGGAATAAATTAATCCTACTCTATTTTGCTAGTTAGACTTCACAGAAAGTGTTTCATTCTGTTTTACAAAGCAATTTAAGAGACACATAAACAGGAATTTGTTCAGAGACCACCTAAAATGCATTGCAAATTGTGTCACTGAAGGTATAACTGCTCTCATATTTTAAGCATGGATCTTCACCAATTTACCCCTAATCCTTACAATAACTCAGCAAGAGGACTATTTTCATCCACATTTTGCAGAGAAAGATAGAGCAGCTCAGAGCACTGAGCGTTAGTATGTAAAAGGCTGGGAACTGAACACAGATGTGTCTGGCTCCAAAGCTGGCGTTCTTTCCACTACCCCACACTGCCTCCCTGTTTAAAATAACTGGGTATGTTTAGTTGGAAGAAAAGAAGCCTTGTGGAGTAAGTGGAAGAAGGAAATGTGTTAGCAGTCCTCAAATATTTGTGGAAGCAGCATTAGACATTTTATTCTGTATGGTTCCAATGAGTGCAAATTGTAGAGAAACAGATGTCGATTCAACATAAAGAATTTTCCAACAGTCAGGTCTGTCTAGAGAGACTGAGCGGCTCAGCCATTTTGGGACGTGACAAGTTCCCCGTCACTAGGGACTGGGTAGCCCTGTGGCAGGTATGCAAGCTCTGGAGGAGTGCACGAGTGACCTTAATGGTCTTTTCCCACCTGACAGGAGTGGATCAGAGTGATATTGGAACTTGGCCAGGGTGACCCCTCTACTGAAGGGTCAAATCCAGAACTAGGTCTTCCCTGGGGGTCTCTCAGCTCACAACTCTTTGTACAACATGATGTTTCATGCCAAGAGCAAGACGAATTGAAATCATCAAAAGAATCACATCAACCTCCCTCTTGGCCAAATTTAATCAATATGTCCCAAAAGTGACTGGTATTTATTTTCCTCTTCAGGCTCATTTTTGGGTAAAAGTCTTTGGCTGCAGAAAGTTTCAAAAGATGTGCGGCAGAGAAGCAAAAAGTGAATAATCCATTAACCAGATAAAATGAACCTAAGTGACAACTGTTTCTATAGATTACAGTATCACTGGGCCCCCTAAAATATCTTGACACACCCTCAGCATTACTGGGCATATCTCCATAATCCCGCACCTGGTCCCATCCCACTCACTGGTCCATGCCTACAGTGCATCTTACACAGTCACACAGATAAATAGGCTGAAGGATTTGAAACAAAATTGTCTCTCGCATTTTTATAGCTCTTTGTCTTTCACGTATATTATCTCATCTGCTGCTCACCACAGTCCTCTAAGGAAAACAGCTACCTTCTTTCAGACAGACAAGCAATTTCCTAGCTGCCTGGGGAAGAGAGGACGACAGTACACAACTCACTTTAAAAAAAAAAAAAGAAGAAAAAAGAAAAAAAACTCCTTTCCACATTAGGCTATTCCCCCAGCCTGGATGACCAACCAGAAGCAGGTGCTTCGCTTTTCCTCGATGGCTCTCCGGCCTCACACCTCCTTCCTCCCGGCCGTGCCCTCCAGGGCCCCGCCCCGCCCCAGTCCCCCCGCCCCCACGCTCGCCTGGCACCGCCCCGCGAGTGGCTCCAACTCCACGTGGCCACGTCCCCGCACCCACACTCGCCCAGGACCACGAGCCTACGCGTCCCCGTCCCCGAGGGGGAAGACACAGCCTCCCCGGAGCGGAGTCCCGGCCCCCTGGGGGCGCGGTCCCGCCAAGGGCGAGGGTTAGGGGGCTTTTGCGTTCTCGCGCCACCCCGGGCTCCTGGGGGTGACGACCGAGGGCCTCGCCCATGTGGCCCTCGTGCGGCGCGCACACCTCGTGCAGCCACCCACGGACGCCAGCGTGGTCCTGCACGCCCTCCTGGGCTCA